ATATATATACAATCAGACTCGTTCTCAAACACACTTTTCATGCATGTAAACAGCAACGCAGCATACTAGCAACATGCGCCCACTCAAAACTCAGAGAAATGACTTTCAGACACGAGTTCACTCTTAATTGGCTATGGCGACTTCAGCGCCCAAACACTGTTCACATACACTGGATCACCCTGGATATCCCACACGCATCACTCTAACACTCGAACACACACACACACTCACTACTAACTACAGCTATGGCAGCTATCGCTGCATCTAACCTATCGCTAGACTAATTCCCTCTCTCTTGCCCACCTCGTCCTCCGGGCTCATCTGCAGACCTCCTTGCACAAGTCGTTGTGGCAGCGCTTCCGCATGGCTCACGCAGGAATGAATGAATGGCTGGGCGCTGCCTCTTGATCTATACTTCAAAAACTCGTTGGTCTGCCCTTTGCCATCGGCCCTTGGTGCTCACAGTCCCCCTGTGGTACTTGCTGGACCGGACTGGGACTGACTGGACCTTCCGCTGACTGACTGTGGACTCACCGCTATCCTACCGACGTTGTACTGCGGTTGCACTGCGGTTTAGTCCACCACTTGCCTCACCACTTCACCACTTGCCCACTTGCCTACCTTCTAGAAGGTCTACAGCTAAGCTTCCGAAACTCACTAAGACTCCAACGCTATAGACCTACAGATCGAACCCCTGCTGCCTATGGACCTACGACAGRCCTACCAACTGCCTACGAATACACAGGTCACAGGTTCAATTCTCGGGGCCTACACAGATATTGTACATGGGTAAGGTGAGGGCTAGGGATCGAACCCTGGGTACTGCATCCGCTACTGCTAAAAGGTGAAAACCGTTTCACTCCCGCCGTCCTAAATTCGAGGTCCTCCAAGAAAACTTCAGTCCAAGGCGGGACCTTTACCTTTCTTGTCATGCTCATAGGCTCTGACTATGTCGGGGGCAGTCTCTAGAAGTTCTGCTTTCGTGAACCAGCGGTCGTCTTCTGGTTCCTAATAGGGAAACCAGACTTTATATTGTTTCTGGGGACGACCTCTACCTCCTGGCCTAAACACATCCTCTTCTACAATGTCGTCTATGTCATAGCTCCCATCCATATCCATTGGGATCATGGATCTCCTGGAAGGGAACTGTTGACAAGTGACACACGGCAGCAGCTTTGAAGCATGGAACACAGGATATGTGTGGAGGTGTGCTGGAATCTCAATGCTGTAGGACGGTCCATCCTCTCCGCCCTTGACTTCTAGAATCGGCCACGGTCCTCTATATGCAGGCAGTAACTTCTGCGAGATGTTTTCTTCCGGTGCAAACTCTTTTGCCTTGACCCAGACTAAGTCGCGACGGTGCTTGTTAGCCTGCTCTATCATTCTGTGTTGGGCCTTCCGAAGGTTCTCAACAACAGTGGCTA